AGTAGCACGTGACGACATCCACATTGACGGATATGTCATCCCGAAGGGCACACAGGTGAGGGGGAAGAGATGACTTGTTGCTGTAGTTAAAGATCGTGCATACAAGATTGTTCACTCAGCCAAAAGAGTGTCCGCAGAAGTTCGCGCATTGTTTCAGATGGCGCTGCAGTCTCTGTTTTGAAGGTCTGGCTGAAACAGCACCAGGACATGGATGGCTGGTGCCTCTATAAATAAATTATTGATGATGATGGTCAGGTTTTGAAGTTCTCTTTCGTTTCTCCTGCAGAAGAGTAGGAATAGCACCCCTTTGTTCATCAGCTGTTTGGGTTCGCCCAGTGCGGAGTTTTGGGTTTAAAAAAACTTAACGACCTCTCGCCTCTCATTGTAAAATGAAATTAAACGACGAAAGAGGCTTTTTGTCAGCGTAACCATTAAAAAAAGGTATCTCCCCGAAATTTCGATTCTAATAAATTCAATAACTTGTTAGTTTCACTTTGATTATTTTTCACACAAGTAGGGTAGTTCTGTTCGCAAAACGGCTTCTTTTTTGGAGAGGGTGCCACCGGATTTTGAGGACACTTTTAAATTTGCCCAAAGACAGGACTGAACAATCTTGTTATGTACGGGGGCGGGAGAAGAGATGAGATGGTACTGTTGTCAGGTGAGGGAGATGTCAGGTGTTGCCAGATGAGGAAGACGTCAGGTGTTGTCAGGTGAGAGAGGTGTCAGGTGTTGTTGGGTGATGGAGGTGTCAGATGTTGTCAGGTGAGAGAGATGTCAGGTGTTGTCAGGTGAGAGAGATATCATGTGTTGTCAGGTGAGAGAGATATCAGGTGTTGTCAGGTGAGAGAGGTGTCAGGTGTTGTCAGATGAAAGAGGTGTCAGGTGTTGTCAGGTGAGGGAGGTATCAGGTGTTGTCAGGTGAGGGGGATGTCAGGTGTTGTCAGGTGTTGTCAGGTGTTGTCAGGTGAGAGAGATGTCAGGTGTTGTCAGGTGAGAGAGATGTCAGGTGTTGTCAGGTGAGAGAGATGTCAGGTGTTGTCAGGTGAGGGGGAAGAGATGAGTTGTTGCTTTTTTCCAGGTGAGGAAATGTTGTCAGGTGTTGTTAGGTTTTATCAGGTGAAAGAGATATTGTTAGGTTAAGGAGACATTGTCAGGTGAGGGATATATTGTTAAATGAGGGAGATATTGTTAAGCGTGGGAGATATTGTTAAATGAGGGAGATATTGTTAAGTGAGGGAGATATTGTTAAATGAGGGAGATATTGTTAAGTGAGGGATATATTGTTAAATGAGGGAGATATTGTTAAGTGTGGGAGATATTGTTAAATGAGGGAGATATTGTTAAGTGAGGAGGGATAGTGTCTGGTGAGAGATAATATGTTGTTCAGTTACGTAAATGTTAAATGAGGGGTATGATGTCAGGTGAGGGAAATAGTGTCAGCCTGTTAGATAAGAAGATTTGTATGTGTGTGGGAGGGGGGGGGGGATTAATTGTGTGTTTGTTTATTCTTTTATTTTTTTCACATGTTTTAATCTTTCAAAGAATCTAACTTTGAATTTATTATTTCTCCATACATATCAAGTTCCTGAAAGAAAGGAGTTATTAAAAAACACCGACATTTCAATTTGCAAAAGTCTCCAGACTCTTTACAGCATTATTATTGCTGTCATATCTGGCAGTGCTATATCAAAATGCCATTGTACTCGTACGTTTAACGCTAATTTCCACACTGTTATGTCGTTAAGTGGCAAGACCACATAATTTGATATTCATCTCCAATAGGACCAGCTTTTTACATTTTGGATCAGAAAAGAGCAAAGACAGCGACTGCTCAGATGGCATGGCACGTGTCCCCGTTACGGGAAATCTCAAGAAAAAGCAGTGTACAGAATGACCTTCCCTGCCGTCTTATGACAAAAAAACCGTTTATGAATAATTAGGTCAAGTAGCGTTTTTATAAAGTGAACAAAGACTCTTTCATGCCTCGTCTTTCTATCTTCTCGTAGTTTTGGGCTCTTCCTCTCTACAGCTTTTCTGACGCACCGAGCCCCCTCACCGATGTGAGGTCTCCATGTTAGTTCGACTGTTTTCCTCTGCTGCCAACTTTAGGATTCATTCCAGCCTGGGTCCTCTCGCTTCAACCAGATCCAGTGACTGGCTTTCTCTGCTGTCTCCTGCAGGGAGTTTGTGAGTTCGTTGCTTTTCTTTGCAGTAAGTTTTGCCATTCTCATCCACTTACGGGCGCTTGTTGCTACAAAACCTCTGCATCCTACCTCTACCGGAAAATGGGTTGCCTTCCATCCTGCCTCCTCACATTGTTCGACGAGTGCCTCGTCACGGTTTTCTTTCCGTTCATGAGCGGCATAGATATTGTCCTCGTGGGGCACCGTGAGCTCTACCAAGTGCACCTCTTTGTCTTTTTCCTCCCATAACACAATGTCTGGCTTTTTTGTAGTTGGAATGGGGAAGAATCTCTCAAAGCCCTTTAAGTCAGCGGCCACCTCCCATGTGCCTCCGCTCTGGTCTTCCATAGCTTCGTTCGCTTTCTTTCTTTTGGTAACCTTGCTTCCTTGCGGAACGAACGCAATCTTGGTGAGTCCATGCTTCTGTATCTGTATTTTCCTTCTTCCACCTGTTTTGTCGCCATTGTCGTGAGCACTTTCAGCACCTCATTGTGCCCCCAGGTGTATCTGTTAAGAGCCAGGTTGCAGTTTGACAAAATATGCTTCATGGTTCCTAGCTTACCGTATCTACACTTGTTGTCCTCCTGTACCTTTCATCTGACAAGGTTCACCGGTGAAGGCAGAACATCATACGTAGACCGGAGAAGAAAGCTTAGCCTTGACGTATTCCACTTCCAGATGTCACTCCACTCGACTTTTCCTTCCACTACATGCTCTTCCCATCTGGTCATTTGTCCTTGCTGGCTACATTGGATGAGATGAATTTCTCGCCTCTCTGCCTCCATCTTTTGC